TGTGTGTGTGTGTGTGTGTGTGTGTGTGTGTGTGTGTGTGTGTGTGTGTGTATGTGTGTGTGAGTGAGTGAGTGAGTGAGTGTTTTCACACGTGCCACTGTCACAGACAGGAGACGAAGGCCACAGGTTGCTAAGCAACACTCAGTGTGATAGAAAGCAGGACAGAGTGTGAGAAGTTGATCTTCAGATCAAGCAACATGCACACAAACACATTCAGATATTGATATGAGGACAGAAGATCATGCATGATGCAGGACTGGTGTGATCTCTGTATCTGACCAGTGTTTATTTCAGCTCAAACTGAAGCAGCTTTAGAACAGAGTTTGAGCTCTCAGCAGAACTCAAGAGCCAAGCTGATTTACCAACTTTCCCTTATATTCTTTCAAGCTGAAGTCTTTCTGAGATCTCCTCAGTTAAATCCACACATCAGTAACTTACTGTATGCATTTGCATGACTATTTTTACACATGTAAAGTCAACATTTGCCAGTTTAGCAGACGTCACAAACAGTCCATGTCTTATGTGTTTATGAAATATTCATGTACGTCTGACAGATTTTGATAACTGAATGGATCGTTTTGCCCAATTTTACTGAGAACCAACTCAGTCAGCCAGCCACCTTTTTGTACATTTAGTACATTATTTAGTACATATTTAAAATATATTTTAGACATATATATATATTGCTGAAGAGAGTTGAGCCAACACAACAATTAAGAGAAACTGTAAAGTTAAGGTGAGTTTTGCTAAATCACACTACTTTTCTGACAGCTAGCTCAATAGCAGAGATTGCTCATGATGCATTATTCTAGAGTCATAAAGATCTTCCGAGGCGCTCTGATATCATGTTGAACTCTCTGAGAGCTGCGTCTGTGCTGATCCGGAGATGATGAGACAATAGCGAGGAGATCTGCTCCCATCACACTGAATAATTAGTGCTTGTGGGAGGAAACTGCCAATCATCGCTGAAAGCCATTACATTGTTACACCATTACAAACAACAGCGGCCTTCACTCACACACAACCCGTCTGTCCTGTACACATATGCAGATCTATGACATGCATGATGTCTTTAAAGGGGTCATCGGATGCCCATCTTCCACAAGTTGATATGATTCTTTAGATTCTTAATGAAAAGTCTGTAACATACTTTGGTTAAAATTTCTCAATGGTAGTGTAAAACAACACTCTTTTTACCCTGTCAACAACAGCTTTTTTCAGATCAAGCCGTTTTTGTAACATTTTCCTT